ACCGCACTGAGTTTATTACGCAGTCAGAGAAGAGTTTCCGTATGTCCCGCTCTGTTGTGTCCCAGGCTAGATTCCCAATGTATACCCTGTTATAACCCATCCACCATTTCTGGAGCGAAGCCAGAAGATGGTCTCCTTTCTGGGAATGGAAGTTGTGGTTTTCACGTATTGCTGGATTGTCAAAAATCGATCACCCCTGGAAGTAAAGTTAAAACAGTTACTCAACCATATCAACTGTGAACAAGGAAGTCCTCAATATTTTCAGTAACGACTATAGATTACTTACATTGCAGCTCTATCAAAAGCCAAAGCACGATTAGCTCCATCTTCGGTCTGTTAATATAAGATACAAAAATTGGATATCAATACAGATATAGTCTAATACACAATCCATTTAACCAATGTCTTATCTCCGGCAAGTTCATTTCTGAGACAGAAATGACCAAACAGAGAGACTCGTGTTCTTGAATACAAATGCTAAAGCATATCAAAGTCCTACACAACTTCACGTGACTCTAAAACTAGATAACGCAAGAGAAGCAGCAACGTTCCATGGAAAACTTACTTCAAAGGTGATGAAAGCAATCCCAGTAAATGCCCCATCTTCAGGACGCATCTTGCAGTCAACTTTTGTGATGACCCCACAGCTTCTGAAGTAGCTACGAATCTCATCTTCTGTGCTCTGATAAGGAATACCCCCAACATATATCTTCTTAGGAACAATCCCATCTTCTTCTTTACTGAAACAAACATGAAGAAGACGCAATCAATATACATAGCTGAAACATAATCACAAAATCAGAGCTCAAATGAAGTCGATGGAACGAAAATTACCTCTCTGTATCAACTTGAATCTCTTCTGACTTAATTTTATCTTCTAAATTGCCTTCCTCAGCCTTCACTGGCGTTTTGTTTGCCTTTCTTTTCTTATTCTTCTTCTTCTTCTTCTTCTTTTTCTGCTTCTGCTTATGGGATTCCTCCCCTTCCTTAGTGCCTTCATCTCCTTGTTCTTCTTCACCTAATTCGCCTTCCACAGTATCGTCTCTCTTCCTCTTCTTCCTATCCTTGTTATCAGTTTTCTCAACGACACCCTCCATTTCCATGTCTCGGATTCCTTCATTGGGCTCGTCTTCTCTTGCGCAGGTATCGCTGTTTCTTCGTTTCTCTCTCTTTGACAATCTGGGTCTGTGGCTGGCTGAATCAAGGAGCTCTTTCAGAGACTGAGATTGCAAGTTCGAGACGGAATCTGGATTGGTTTCGGTTACCGTGACCGATAGAGATTCAACCAAACCTTGTCGAATCTTCTGCTTCAGCTTCTTGTTCGACAGCACCATCTTCACTGATTCATCAAAGTGAACACGAAAACTCTCTCCAGACCGCCAAAAACCCTAATGGATTATTTTGATACGACCTTGGAGGTGTGGGCTCCATTGGGCTTCAAGTTTATGATGGGCTGTGAGGAATACTCTGCTTATTTGTATAGTTTTGTGGGGCTTTTAAAAAGAGTCTAAAAATGTTTTCATCTAAACTAAACATATGATTATTGTATGCTTAACATAATCCGTGGAAGCTACTTTAACCTGCTGGTTAATAGTTTATTAATGTTTTATACTAGAAAATTCAGAAATTCGAATTCCAAAAAATATGATTTATTATTAATTTGCAGATTAATAGAGATAAAAGACATTTTCAATGTGGTGTGTATGAAGATTCGTTTGGTCTGTATGCCAGACGCTGTAGAACTGTCACGAATGATTCTTTTTTCTACAGCTAAAAGCAAAAGCAACAACAACAAAAATCTTAACTATGTTTTTTATAGAGTTTTGTTTCAGCATTCGTATCTATTTTGGTTGACTTTATATGTAACGTAAACCCCACGTAACATAATGAAAACATAAGCATGAGTAATATGGATCATAAGCATGACACCACTGGACTGATGTAGTATAAGTCTAGATGCTGAGAAAATCTGAAAAAAAAAAAAATGCAAAGTATGTGAACAGATCATACTTGTTCTAGAACAAGTTGAGAATGTCGAATCGAGATCTTCCTTCGATCGGCTTATTCATAGTATTTAGTTGTTTTTTGGAAATCCGAGTAGTCTCGGATCAGGGCCGGCACTTAGCACGTGTGACCTGGGATATAACACAAGACCCAATATAATTTTAGACTTAATATAGCTTTTAAAAAATTTGCTTTAAAAAAAAATTATGGAAAAAATACAAACAAATTTTAAGAACAACATATAGTATCAAGTGTCAACATAATAGAAGGTTTTTACAAAAACTTTTTTTATCATAATTAATTTTATTTTCATTGTTTATAAGTGATTTATAACGTATATATTTGGTTTTTGATAGATTTTTTTTCATATATTTTTGATAATTGAAGTGTTTAATGTTATATAATAATCATTGTTTATGAAAATTATTAAATTAATTATTCAGTGATTGTTTACCACCTTTTACTCCTATATATGGTAAATATTTTTATTAGTTCACCATATAAATATTTTTAAAAATTATATATTATAAAGTCTATTATAAATTAGTAGCACAAAGTCTCAAATTTGTTCGAAACGGCACTGCTCGGATCATTTGCTAATTAAAACACGTCTGGAGAAGAAACTAGTAAAACTCTCAATGATATTAAAAACGTCTAGCTAGAGAATAAGCCACGTAATCTCACACTCAAATTATGCTTCTTCTACGATTTCATCTTTTGAGGTGTTCTCCTGATCAACAGAGTCAGTGGTGGGAGAGGTCCGCTTGTGGAGGCTTCGCACTGCCGAAACATTTTCCTTAAAAGCCTTCACTGCTGACAAGTTTGGTTCCGACGACATTGCGGTCTTATCCTCGATCAGACTCTCAGCACCTGCGACATTTTTGGCCTTAACGCCGGGGAAGTGTTAGTGGACATCAGAGCCACGTTCAAGATCAGCATGGCTTCCTCTTTCGAGTAATCTGAAGCCAGCACTGGATCGACCAGGTCTAGTAAGCTTCCCCTTTGTCTTGCAAAACGTAGGCCTACATGCACGTGCCAAAAACCAAACTTAATTATAATTGGTTTACTGTTTCATCGAATCATGCATGTATGGTTTTTCCGTTGACGATTTCAAGGGCAACGACGCCAAAGCTATAAAAACATCTGCCTTTTCAGTCAAGTAACCACGGGAGCCATAATATATCCTCTGAGATACATACATGTTGTACGTAAGAGTATCAAGAAGAAAATAATGATTTTTTCCTTCCCAACGTGTTGCTTGAAAAAGGCCTTACAATGTTCCGGCAATACGGTGTGTGAGTGTTCATCATCATTCAGCTTTGCCAAACCAAAGTCGGAGATTTTGGCGTTCAGATCTTCATCAAGCAACACGTTGCTCGCCTTTATGTCCCTGTGCACAATTTTTATCACAGAGTCTTCATGGAGATATGTTAGTCCTCTAGCTATGCCCAAACAAATCTTTTTCCTTGTTGGCCACTCTAGTTTTATCCTCCACCTCTCGTCCTCTCCTGCAAAATAAAATCACCAACAATAACTCGATCACAAGAATTTTAGCATTCGTGTCAGAATATAAATATATACTGTACATGGTATCAAAAAGTTCAAGAAACGTACCAAATAGTGCGCGAGATAGACAGTTGTTCTCCAAGTACTCATAGACCAATATCAATTGCTTTTTTTCAACGCAGCATCCATAATGTTTCACAAGATTTGGATGTTGTAGAGATGAGATGATCCCTAATTCATTCACAAACTCTCGGCTTCCTTGATTGGACTTTGAAGACAATTTTTTAACTGCAACCATTCTCCCCTCTGATAACACACCCTGCACCGAGAGAGAGAGAGAGAGAGAGAGAGAGAGAGAGAGAGAGAGAGAGAGAGAGAGAGAGAGAGAGAGAGAGAGAGAGAGAGAGAGAGAGAGAGAGAGAGAGAGAGAGAGAGAGAGCCGTCTTGTAAAGCATAAAACTTGGAGACGAAGCATTGATCGATAGTGTAGACGTGTTGGACACGGTGTAATCATCCATTTTCTCATGCATAAATTGCCCACTGCTGCTAAATGCCCAATGCTTATCAGGACCATAAACGAACGTAGAAGCTCTTTGGCCCTCTAGATTAGCCTCGTATATCTTCTCCTTCTCAACTTTCACGTCATTTCCCCCACAGTTTATGTACAGCTTATACTTATCTGCAACAAAATTCATTAATCTAATCAAGATGTGGGACTTTTTCACGTTTTTAATCAGATTCTCCCGGAGAAAAAAAAAAAAAAAAAAAAAAAAAGATAAATGGGCACATCAAAAACAATATTGTAGCTTACAGTCTTTTTTAGGCTGGAGGCAAGGGAAGTGTTGGAAATAACAAGGGGGGACCTTGTACCTGAAAATAACAAATTCAAGTTTCTTGTATTTTTAATGTGCAATATTTTCTCAAAAATTTTGTAACAGACCGTATCCGTTACAATTTATAATATATGATTTTTTTTTTAAAAAAAATCATAGAACAAAACATTTTTTTTAAGTAAACCATATATATATATATATATATGATTGATTATTGGAAATATGGTTTCTTACGATTCGTTCCACCCGAAGAAACTCTCCCCCAAATTCCTAGAAAATAAAGCACAAGATTATCATTTTGTGTGCGTGTGAGCAGAGTGATATATGATTATAAGAGTTGTTTGTGAAAACTGACGCATTATGAGTTTTGTCACAATCACCACTAGGAACTGCACTTTGTGTGGTGAAATTATTGTTGGATATATCTCTACCACATCAAAAAAAAAAAAAAAAAAAGAGAAAAAGAAGAAGCATTATTTAGTCTATATATAAATTAATGGCAAATATTGGAAAGTTGGCAAGACGTGTGTCCATACATCATTTTGTTTCTTTCGATTAACTCGTTTGGAACACCCCCTGTGAACTTATTTCCTGTCAAGTAACTGATAGAGAAAATTTCAAAATTATCTTCATCAATGGATATATATATATATATATATACATATACATATAGATTCTAAACTGATACTTTATTTCATACAATGAAGCCCTTACATATAATCTGCTAACTTCAGATTGGTAAATGATGAAGGGATATTGCCGGTTAGGAGATTGAAACTAAGGTCACTACGCAACAAACACAATCAACATATGTATAAATACGCAATATAAACGTAATGTTTTTGTTTTGTTTGTTTTCTCAATGTATCTTGATGACTTACAGTGTTCCAAGGGCCATCATATCACCAATATATTTTGGAAGCCGCCCGTTTATGTTGCATCTCCTCAACTCCCTGCATCCAAGAGTAAATGTTAATTTTTTTCTAGATTTTTACAGCACAACAGATAAATTGTATTCTAAACTCACAATATGCTGAGAAATGTCATGTTCTCCAGTGGGGGGAAAGACGACAATTTCCCTCCTAGATCGCTGATCTGGCTGCCAAACACAACACAACAAACCAAAATTGTTTCAAGAGGAAATGGATCGGAGAAAATTTGAGTTCTTGATGGTGCCATACAGATTGCTCAAGCTAGTCAGGTAGGAAATACTAGAAGGTAATGGACCATCCAAACCGCTACCGAACATCTTCCTGCGAAACAATTCTTCAGTTCTTATGTTTTCTATGAGAACATCTACTACACTGGAAGAGAGATGTGGCCTTACAGCATATTTATCCGTGTCCAGTTCCCAATGAAATCTGGTATTTGTCCAGTACAGTTGTTGCCGCTTATATCCCTACCACACCATATATACAAGGTATACAAATATACTAAAAACATTAACCAACAATAAAATAGTATATTAAAATCATTAACTAACAAGGAATGAATTTATTCATTAATTTATTCCCATATACATACGCATGTGTAAGGGAACTTAATTATCCTTACAAAGAACGCAGGTTGGTAAGCTGTCCAAATTGTTCAGGCAAAGGGCCACTGAAAGAATTGGAAGAGAGAGATCTGTAGCAAAACCAGATAACAGTAAGTACCAACGTAAAGTATACAAGATCTTGCAAAATAACATGAGAGAAAGAATTTTACAGATCTTCCACATTAACCAACTTTCCAATCTCAGGAGGGATTGGTCCTGAAAATCGGTTTCCTTCGAGGGATCTGCATCATTTCAAATGATGACATTTATCAGAACCTTAGAATCATATTACCATTAAGAACAACCTACATCAACAAGTATGAATATAGAGGTCAAACCAAAAAAAAAAAAAAAAATCTCAATAAAAGTCTTTGGTTAATCAAAATTATGCAAATCAATACAAAGATGGAAAACTCTTACAAAGATGAAACCAATACAAATTAAGATGAAATCAAAATTAGTGAAGTTTCTCATTCTTTATGTAAAC